AACTGGTCTATGGTGGTGTTGAATAATTTTATGATTTCGACTATCAGAGGGTGAAGTGGAAGACGAAGACCAACTACGAGCTGTTCCTTGAAGATCACGATCTCGTCGTGACCATGCTTTCAAGGGAAATTACCTAAGGGATACTATAGACGAGGTCGTTGGGAAGTCTGTACCGGGCTACTAGGGATAGAAGCCTGTCCGCCATCATTGTCGACGGGCCAAAGTTATCTGGCAGTCGACCTCGATGCGAGGTGTAAGCCAGGTTACCAGAGGCTTCTCGCTCCTCCCGAGGTGAGTCCACCTCGGGAGGACTGTGGACCGCATCCTGACCCGAAGTAACCTCTTCGGTAGGAGGAAGATCTACAGCCTGAACTGAGGTACAACGAATTCACCGCTCCCATCTAAGAGGCTATCGAAGCTAAAGCTAGACATAATGGAAAGACGCAGAATCAAAAAAGAGAGCTAGGGGAGACTCACCAAAGGAAAGACGGAAGAAAGGAAGACAACCTTGGAAAGACACTGAACTGAAGGACTCGAGCGCGACCTCAGATTGCAAATTAGCGGACTTATGGCAAAGAAAATGAGCCCCTTGCCTCCTATTTATAGCTGGTGTGTCCGGGGATCAACGGTCGAGATCACCACGATCCGACGGCTCCTAGGAAAACCGGTTGCATGACCCCTGAGGTTGAAATCGGTTTAGCGCGTGTTTTGATGTCCATGGAGTTTATAAAATGGCGTGATGTCCACGCGTACATTAGACGTGACCTAGGTTATTCCTGGTTGAGCCGGGCGGTCGAACAGGTCCGACCAATGATTCACCCGTCAAGCTGCCTAGACCTCATGCCAAATCCACCTGGACTCGTCATGAACTCCCCACACCGGGTTGAGACCTTGTGCTCGGGGAATGGGGGCAATTGATGAAGGGTAATTTGCCCCGACCTAGAGAAAAGGGGACACGACCTGACTAAGAGATGACAGCTCAGCCTGGCAAGCCTAGTTCGCAACAATTGAGCTCGGGTATTCAATGACCTCGGCGCAGAGTCACCTAGGCATCCAATCTAGTTCGAAACTAAAAGATCGAAGTATCAGCTCGGGGCTACCGTTCCGGACCGCCACGTAACGAATCCGAAAGTTTCTCTAGTAGACTCTGAACCTCACGGGATCACGCCGCGTAACGGTAGGCCTAATCTTCTCCCCGCCCGGATCAGACGGAATTGATAAACTTTATTAATTGATACATTACTCCCCAATTAAAGCGGAAACGGATCCCCTCAGGACGAAGATCCCTGAACCGATCCACAAAACCCGCGAGGGCTCAACTATATAAAGGCACCAACCCCAGTGACACAAGGTACACGTGATTTTTCTACTCTCAAGCTCTCTAGCTCTCCAACTCTCAAAGCTTTCAGCTCGCATCACAGTTTACTAACTTAAGCATCGGAGTGACCTCGTCGGGTTAGCCACCCCGGGTTCTCTGATTCGTTGTCTTGCAGATTCACCAAGCTCGCTACTCGACTAGAAGCCAGATCACCCTCCAGCAGGGAGTAGTCAGATCGCGCAACATCAGATAGAACCTGAAATTGATATTAAACCACGAAAAATGTCCTATTTTTAGTTCAAATGGCAGGATAGCTCCAACAGATGATGGATATTATTCTCAATGGCTGTCCTGTCACACCTGAAGAGCTGAAACATATATTGATCCCACTATTAAGCCACAAAACTAAATCTGAATGACCGAACCGATTCAGATCGAGCTAGATCTTCTCTAGATGGAGCTTAAAAGCACCGATCAAGAACAAAACCTCATCGAAATCTACATAAATGGAAAAATACCTCATAAACCAATACCGAAGGAAATCTAAAGGCGACACCATCAGCAAACAAAAGGGGAAATTCTTGGAAACACACTTACATGTGAAGAACCAGAAACCTCAGTAGATGATGGCAAAAGTAGATGAAACCTTCATAACTTTACCAGAGAACAGAGTAGAAACAACTGAAAAATATCAAAACGTCTGTAAATTAAAACAAGGTGGATCTAGATGTTACTATAATGACGATACATCGATTGGCTAGCAAGATCTATACCCCCAAGCTCCAATTCTCTCTCAGAATGCCATGAAAGCTCCACTTCCGTGCTTTGTACAGGAATGGCGGAACTGAAATGACTCAAACTTGAAGGGCATTTTTGTCTTTTTGCATGCCATTTAACGGCTTGTTAACACTGGGTATTAAATTATCGCAAAATGAAAGTTCGGGTACTAGATTATCGAGTTTTAAAGTTTGGGTACTAAATTGGCACTCAGCCTAAAGTACAAGGTACCTATTTGGAATTTTTCCTAAAAATAAAGAGGAGAGTATGGAGGCTTGCTACCGCAAAATGCATGTGCGCAAGTGTGTGCAACGCAATGAGGTGTTTTAGAGGTTGACTTTTGGTGTGAGGCTAACCATTGATGTTTCAACAATCACGATTCGATCTAGTGTGATCAAAAGACATTATTCAGAAGTTAACAATCATTAACTATTACCTATAGGGTTTCGAACCATGGGGCATTTTTTAGAACTGAATTAGTACTACCAGTTTTTGAAAAACCAGTAACCGGAACTGAAATGAAGCCAGTCGGTTAACCAGTTGACTGGTTCGATTAACCGCTGATTTTTTTGTTTTTTTTTATTTTTACAATATATATTATAAAAATATATATAAATATATAGTAAAAAATTATAAATGTATATAATATTATATTTTAAATAATATATAGTATGTGATATATTTATATTTATATACACAATGCATCTTTATTAATTTATAATATATAAAATATATATAATATACATAAGCATATATAAAATATATAGAAATATATGTATACCGATCAGTTCGGTTAATTGCCAGATTTCTATATTAGTTAACCGAAACCAAACTAGTATCTTCAGTTTTTTAAAAACACCGAACTAACCAGTTCAATTAACCGATTTTTCGGTTTTTTTTGCTCACCTCTAGTTAATTACCATTTTAACAGTCATAATGTTTGAAATTGTGACTATTCAAGGAGCCTTAAGTAAATGCACTCACAAGCTTTTCGAAAATCACTCTTGTCTCTCTCTGTTCGATCTTTTACTATCTCACAGAAGGATTCTTCGATCTATTATATCTTGGGAATGGATTTGCTTGTAACCTAACAACAAACTCAGTGAAACTGAGTGGGGGCAAATAACATTCAAAGACAGTGTTTTCAAACATGTCTCAGAGCTTCTCCTCCAAGTTTTAGTGACCTCAATTCCCAACATAAGTGGGTCTCAATTCACAAATGTTTCATTTTACCTGTTTTTTAAAAACACAAAAAAAATAGAGATACAACTGAATGATATCTAAAAAATAAATCAACTTTTTCAAATTTCAATATATCATGTTACCTTACGTTCATCGTAGAGTTAATAATTACAAAAACATTTTTTTAAATAGGATTTTCAAATGCGATTTTCTTGTCGATTCCATTTAAGTGCTGATGTGGCATGAATAACATATTAACAAAAATGGAACACGTGAAATGCTCCGATGCCAAGCAACCCACTTGATTTTCTAGTGAAAGTATTCTGGTAGCATCTCCAAAGCCGTTTAGTCAGTACAACTCAATGAATATTGAAGTCGTCCCAAACGTGCCCTTATTAGGGGGGAGTTTTTTTTTTTAACCAAACCGACCTAATTGATTTTTTAAAAATCTGAATTGAAACCAAACTGATGCAACTAGTTAACCGCGGTTAGGTTTTTTTATGCACTCAAAATAAAAAAAGGAAAAGAAAAATAGCTAAACAAAAATGGCAAAAGGGCGGGGGCAAAGTGGTGGTCGATGATTTTCCGATGCCGGATTGGTTGGTGGTTGCTGTTGCCCGAAGTGAAAGCCTAAGAGGTGGTGAAGTTGCGGAGAATGAGAGAGAGAAAGAGAAAGAGAGAGAGAGAGAGAGAGAGAGAGAGAGGGAAGCACTGAAGCAAGGGGAAAACTGGCCACTAGGTGAGAAACCATCGGTCGAAGGATGACCAACACCGGAGGAAAGACTAGTGATTGGGGAAGACAAAGAGACAGGAAAGACTGAGAAAGCCAAGGGTTAGCCTATTAGGTTTACTGGTTTAGGATTTGAAGAAGGGGAAACTAGGAAAGGGGGAAAAGGTGGACAAGCGCTAGGTTTATTCGATTTTAAATAATAAAAATAAAAATATAATATATACAATTTATTATTGTATATATACCGGTTGGTTTGGTTAACCACCGATTTTTTTAAAAGGTTAGTCAAAACCAAACCGATCAGTTCAGTTTCGATCGATTTTTTAAGCCGGTTCGGTTTCCCGCTTTTTTTTCTCACCCCTAGCCCTTATGACCGAACTGAATAGCTGCTTCAGCYGTTTTCAAACGGTCGAAATGCAAGGAATGGCTATATTACACGTTTGGGTTGGGATCGATGCCTAATATAAGGGGATTAAACTAGGGCTGAGA